TCTACTGTGTTTATCATAGTCATGGAGATTTTAACATGAACATTTCCCAGGGATGAATCACGTTTCCGAGGGAATTGCCAACTTGTAAGAATCATGCGTTTTTTAAAGAGATAAAACCTTGACGAGCTGTCCACTTCAATAAAACATGTCATGCTCCTCCATTGACAGAGCTGTCATTTAGAAGTGTATTAAAATGTTACTACATATGCATATCCATTACGTTTGAAGTGGACTATTATTGTAACTGTTTAATACTGGGCTGTTTACAAGGTCTATGAAGCAGTTACCTTGTGTAATATAACTGTGTGGAAACGATAAATAAACACTGTGTGCCCCTTTAAATAAGAGACAGTACTTTATACTATAAACACAATTTGCAGAATTGTCAATTAATATCGATGATGCATGTGTAGTGACATATAATTGGTCACCAAGTAGCATAGCGCTGGCTGCTGGCAGGGAAGGGGATCTGCAGCTTGAAGCAGCCCTGACTGACAGCAGGCCACGTGATAGACCCGAGAGGGATCTAGGGTAAAGGTTACGGAAGCGACACGTCGAGAACCCGCTAGTAGGTTCCAGAAGAGGGGCGTGGCCGGGGCGGAGCGAGGCCACACTAACAGGATAAAAGGGGAGCTCGGGGCTGTCGTTTGGAGTGGGATCCGGTCGTTGTTGCTGCTGAAGATCGTCACCATCTACGTCTTCACCTTCTCGGCGTCGTCAGTCAGGCAGTCTGCCAGCTGTCCTGACTGGGAGCTGTAGTTACCTCTTATGAACTGTGAAGGCTGTTAATAAACAGAGTTGCGTATAAGCGAGAGACAGAGAGTGTGTAACAGTGTAGGGTGTGTATAAAGTGTACAAAGTGAGCTCGGTGTTTAATTAAAGAATTGCCTCCAAGAAGTTACGTCTCCAAGTCAGTCACTACACATGAATCATGCTGTGGTCATGATGCACTTCCACGACACATCGTGTAGAGGGTAATTTATTACTCACACTGAGCACAACACAGGCCAACACTTGTTCTTCCTCACACAGAGTATAACTAAGTATTAACACCTCTACTGGTAACACACACAGCCAATCACTCGGCATGGTCTCATCGCTCTCACTCGGCTACGCCACTGACTGGCGGCGTGACGAGAAGATGACGGTGATGGAAACCACGCAGGAGATCTTCCACGTGGCCGACGAGGGAGAGAGATGTCGGCGAGCAGTGATGCAGCTAGGACCCAGGACCCCACACACGAGCCTCGAGCCCCGGGTCCGCTCCCCCTTATATTCCCCCAGGCGAGGCTAGGCCCCGCCTCTGGCCACACCCTCTCGTGGAACCTTCGAGCAGTTTCCGGAGTATCTCGGCTAGCCCCACCTGTTACCTTTGCCCCAGATACACCTACTTCTCTGATTGGTTGGTACTTAAACCGTGTCCATACCTGTGATTCCCTTTCCAGCCAGCAGGTGTCACCCTGTCATTACACATGCATTAAACTGTAAATAAATGTTTTATTTTATTTATTGATACAAGTTGTATGCAATTCGTCATGTGACATTGCAGTATTAGTGGCAGAGTACATTCAACACAATTTAGAAAGAAATTGAATCTGGCCTTGCATAAAATATCAACCCTGAAGTGTACAATTCAAAGCAACACGGGGTTATGTGGTGGGTGAACCATTGCTGTATATTTCTGCATGATCGAACAAAAATATCGACCAAAACTCATTTTTACTTGGAAAAAAAGTTTACTGTACAGGTCGCTTCTCTAATTCAGAGGCGACCTGGCCACAAATGATAGCTCAACGACATGGCTCATCATGTGGAAATTGATAGCAGCCAAATACTCTAAAAGGCATGTTTCTAAATGTGGAGGGGAAAAAATGGAGGACCCAGAGAAAATCCATGCGACCACAGGGAGAACATGCAAACTCTAAATATACAGGCTACTTTATCAAAACATGCAGTATATAAATACAGTACAGTATATTTTCAGTTGCAAAGCAATGTCATTGTGACAGTGTAACAATGGTATGCGTTAGCCAATAAAGTATATTACCTGCATTAATGACAAATTTAAGCACAAACAAGCAAACTTGTCTCAATGAATTTCACAGCCACCCTCATAAATAATGCAAAAACAAAAATTTCAGAAATGTCAAAAGGGGGCAAGACTGCATTAAATGAACATGGAAAAACTGCTGAATCATCGACGACGCGAGCTAAAATCGATTCGATGTCTGTGAGAAGAACTGGTTTCCCAAACATATTTAAGGCACGGCTGCTTGTTGACCACAAGGTGCCTTACACAAGAGCTGCTGCGTCTGTTGCTCTGCAAGCTGATGAAACCCACTTATTAACATGCTGACAAAGTACACTCGGCGTCTGTCACAATTCATCTAATTTCCCATGTGGCTTGCAGGGGGGGGGGGGGGGGTCGGAAAACAGCCAAGTGGCAGTAATGCAAATGATCAGCTTATTCGTTCATCTACTGCTGGACAAGTCCTCTCTCCAAACGAATGTTGGTTATGTGGGGGGGCTCTTTGCCCATACTTCCCCCATGCAGGTTGGTGCATGGACAGATGGATGGGAGTTGCCCAGGACACGTTCGAGGAATTTAACACGGGTGCCCAGAGTTCATAGTGCAATGTGCGTATCGCTACGCCACCGGACACAGTAGCAATGAATGTTCATCCGAACAGAAGCGTCCCTATGCAAAACACGCACTCCGTTGTATCTACAATTTAAACAAAGTGTTATATAAAGGCTATTATGGCTTAAGGGCATGCATCGAGGGTGGCACAGTGATGCATCACGAGTTCAATGTGGAAACAGGTTTGAAGTTTTCCCTGTTAATTGAATTAAAAGTTGGAGGTGCGTTTTAAGACTCCATTAGGTGTGTGTGTGTGACCAGCGTTGTATAACTTTTTTGGACACCAGTCACAAGTTTGGGGTGCATCTAACTTTCTCAGCTGTTTTATAACACCCTAACAGTACTATGACGTTTTAACAATATTGCACATGAAACCAGCAACTACAATATGGTGTGTTAACAAGCTCAATTTCACAGTTTCGTAATTAACTAGAGTACAGTACATCTACTTTTACCATCTCAATGACGACAGGATTAATGAGTGATCATCAAGGCTTGCCAGGTGTCGTAGGAGTGGGGCTAAGAGGTGGCCAATGACAGCAGGGTTTAAGTGTGATGGGTTTTCTCTGGGCTCGTTTCATTAATTGAACTGGCCAAAACATCAAAACGCAGGACCCTCCAGAAAAATAGCCTTGTCATTTGTCGAGGCTTCTTGTTGAGAAAAGAATTTGCACTCATCACCGTTATTAGTACCATTAAAATTAAACAAATCTACTTTTTAAAAAGTACATGCTGTGGTTTAGGGAACACCTGTGTAGTACTGTATTTGTAAAGCAAGGATGCTTTTAACGTTTTCTTAATTTATGGTTTTATCAATACTGTAGATAAAGCCAATGACACACCAGACGAGGTCAGCACACATTATTGGCACGTGTCCTTGAACAGAGATAAAGGCAGTACAGTGCTCACACACACACACTTCACAACTTGCCGATTTAAAAAAAATGCAAGATGCCCGAAACAAACCTAGCCAGCATCATCAGTTACGAGAGTGACACACACACAGTGCCCATCCGACAGAAGAGCTAGCCGCATCACTGCGTGGTCACATCACATACATTTGCAAAGCACTATATGGAATCACTGTAATCACGGTATTTTATTTACAGAGAAATATATATGAATACACAAACCACGGGAAGAAATTAAATCACGTTCAAACATTTACGTATAAACTTTTATAATCCAGTTCTAGTTGAGACTGACCCAATGAATGTGTGCTTGCACGCCCTTTAAAAAAATGCATCAACCGAAATGAAAGCGCTGTTTAAGCGTAATGTTTGAATACTAATTAAAAACGCGCGCGCACAAACACACAGTTAAAGCTGCTCTCATGTTTGGCGAGTCAACAGAGAGCACGTGTCGTGGTTGGTACTCAGCAGCACGTGGCAGTGTGTGGTAAAGGTTAAATAACGGGAGCCCAGTTGCATCCCGGCTCTGGCAAGGAGACCCCGACCTTCGGGCAAGGTCACCGCACACGTGCAGCGTGGACCGGGGTTAGGATCACTAGGGAATGGGATTAGGGGTTCACAGTGATACATGACACACCGCCGGGCTACAGAACCATGAACCAAGATCACGACTTGGACCAAGACTTGTACAAGGATCCGGGCCCGAATCTTACCGAGAGCAGGACTAGTTCCAGGCACCCGGGTCTGAATACATACAGGGACTATGGATAACAGTACAAGGACGCGGGTAGAATGACGCACTCCCCGAACGAGAACCAGAATCAGAATTAAGACCTAGGTGGGACGAATCAACTAAAATCCGAACCCGGAAAGCCTCACACTCGCACTCGGGAACTGGACCACCGATACTTGGGAGACCTGGTCCCAGACTGGGGACTAAAATCAGGCACGACTTAAAACTCGAATCGGTGCCAGACTTTGTGGACAAGGACCATAACGTTGACGACACCCAGCATGGGTGACTGCAAAACCCGGACTCAAGACCACAGGGCAATCAGTCTCGCCTCCGAGTCGTGAAACCAGGCCCAGGTCACCCTGAACACACGGACTCTAGAACCGGTCCCGGACTGGGAGCAGAGTTAAACCGGGCCAGATCGAACACTGGACAGGAACATTCAACCCGGACTGGCCCAGACCCGACCCGACCCGGACTGGACCAGACCCGACCCGACCCGACCCGACCCGGACCCGACCCGGACCCGACCCGGACCAGATCCAACCCAGACCCGACCCGGACCAGACCCAACGCAGACCCGACATGCTTTTACGGCTGCAACCTCAACCCAACAACAAAAACAGCCAGAAACAGAGAGTCTGACCCCCTCGGGCCAGACCCCCACCAAACCAATGGGGCACTCGGAATCCAAACCCAATGCCCGATTCCTTACCAAGCCGTCGGCGGTGACCGGGGCTCGGAGTTGAGGCTCCCGGCCTGATGGTCAACTCCGTTCTTGTTGTCGGACTGCTGCGCCGGACCTGTGACGGGACAATTAACACAAACGGAGAGCTTGACGCAACCCACCACTACCACAACCCCAGCAAGCAGCAACAACAAGCAACAACAACAACAAAAACCCAACACTCCGCCAATTCCATTCACCAAAACCCAAGCTAAGACGAAACTTCACACAGCAGGCTCGCACAAATCGCCAACTTAAGCCGACGCTAAAAACTAGCGAAACGCGTGCGGCCGTGTGAATAACTCCGCAAGCAGCGAGGTAATTGCGAACACGGCCCAATTGGCGTGTCGGCATCGGTGCTCGCTTGCACAACCACATTGCGCGTTTGCAGTTTTTTGCTCGCAAGCTGCGCCCAAAGGGTTTCGAGCATTGACGATCCCGCGAGAGGCCAAAAAGTGCCGCAGGGGCATTGCAGGTAAGGAAAGACGCTGCAGGAACCTCGACAAGCATCAACGTGCAGCAGACCAACGAAGCGCCGACGACCACCTTCGACTGTAAATGAACAATGCCGCTCGTTGTTAAGCCACGTGTTGTTGTTCGCAGAGCACGTGGACGGGGGAAGAGGTGACCCCTGGCGAACACGGGAGCTCACCCTCTGGCCCCCGTGGACAAGGTCAACCCGCCTCCACGCCGAGCCTGTGGGCCTCACCTCGTAGCCTGTGCGTGACCATCTTGCTGGGCCCCCTTGTGATGGTGTACATCGCCGCGGTTTCCTCGATATCCTTGCTGTGCTGTGCCGTCCTAGCTCACACACGTACTCGTCCTCGAGTCACCCACGGTACTCGCTTATATAGGCACGTGGAGGACCACATTACAACGCCCACATCCCCCATCCCCACCCCCCCCACTTCGCTGCCACCACCCTTCACAACGACCAACCGCACTTGGTACACCCCGCCGGTGTGAAGCCGACCATTAATATGCGTGGGCGAGACCATTCGTGCGGATACAGAGGGGGGGGGAGGGGGTTTGGTTGGGAGTTACGTTGGGGGTGTTGGCTTGTGGGCGGGATTTGTAGGGGTCAGCTCGGACTTCTGGAAAGTAATGTGGTGGTATGGCACTGTACGGTACAGTGGCTGCAGCACTTTGCCTGTTCGCGATTATTTTTGGGGTGTTGCAAAAAAAAACATTACCATCAATTCATTTATCTCCTTTTCGATTTATGCCCAATGGCTCAAACTCCCATCATACGTTATGACCTTTAAATGTTTGCTGTATTATTTATTTCATTGTATACTCCACCACCTCTCATCTCGCTCTCTCTCTCCAAAATCCTTCCTTTCTCCAAGTCACAAAGTAGAAATTCGCGATAACGCATGCAACGCAAAGCGTTGCACATACGTGGAATGCACACACGTGTGTGTGTGTGCGAGTGGTTAATTAGGTAATGTGTTGCGTGAGAGTCGAGCGCGCCGCTGGTGTAGTGGTATCATGGAAGATTCCCATTCTTTCGACCCGGGTTCGATTCCCGGGCGGCGCACGATTATTTTATTTTTCTGTTTGTTATTGTTGTTTACAAATTCTAAAACAACGATGATGACATTCAGCCTCCCGACAACATTTTTGCGTCATTCCACTGTGAATATTTAAAAAAAACGTCGTCACGTACCGAGGCGCTTTCGAGAATGCCGCTGCAATAATCTGGAAATGTTGAAGCTCCGGCAAGTTGCGTTTAAAGTCGAAATATAAATTTCGTGGCGCAGAGTACGCATTACGAACGCCCATTGCAAAGTGTCGACAGAAAATTTAACGCCGAGTACAGTGCAGCATATAAATACTCCGTAAACTTTAACCTTCATTTTCCGCGTATTTAAAAAAAAAATCTTACGCCGCCAAATGGCCGAAACGGGTACTGGTACTTTATTCACCAATGCAGCTACATATTTCGTCGAATAAATTTTTTTCTGGTACTTTACAGTATTATCTGCCTATCAATTGGCAGAAGAGAGAAACAAATATAGAACAATTATTCCACGAGTAAAAAAAAATAATCGTGCGCCGCCCGGGAATCGAACCCGGGTCGAAAGAATGGGAATCTTCCATGATACCACTACACCAGCGGCGCGCTCGCTCTCCCCCTAGCACGGCACGCGAGCTATAGGACGCAGTCGCACATCACGGGACACGCTCTACCCACTGCTGGATTATGTCTGTACGTTGGACTTCATTCACACCGTACGTAGCCCACCGTGCTAGTTGGAGGTGTGGGGGAGGGGGACAACACAAATAAACCCAAAAAGAAGTTCTCAAGAAATTTGTTTTCAAATTACAAGGTCTTGTTACCCCCATTTAATTATCTGAAAGTTAATCTATATTTTTTAAGGGGGGTGTATTTAAAACAGAAAGGAATATGCAATGGGGGGAAAAAAAATGGGTGGCAATTCATTGGGGGTCACAAAACATCTGGACCACCATGTAGATTTATAAGTACATCGCTCCAGTGGCTTCCGAATATCTGATGGAAGAGCATTCCAGACGGCCGCAGAAGCGCATCTGAAAGCACGCGATACAGTGACCGTCTTTGTTCGATGTTTAGCCAAAATCCGATGCGGCAAGGATGACCGTAGTTTGCGTGATGGTTTATAGTCCTTGACAAGATCAGCAAAGTATTGTCGTTCATTTGTGGGAAGCACTTTGTGTGTGGATTAGACACCTTACTAAAACTAAAAACGATTGAAACTAAATTGTTGTTTTTATTTTCCCAGGTAAGGTCCACTAAATTATATACTGTAGCTCTTTTTCAGAAGCGACCTGGCCGTAAATGATAGTTCAACAAAGTGGTTGCTAATCATGTGGAAATTTATAGGAGCCAAATACTCTAAATGCATGTTTATTTCTAAATGTGGAGGGGAAAACCGGAGGAACCGGACATGAAATCCACGCGTCCACGGGGAGAATAAACAAACTCCAAATATATACAGGCATCAGGGGTCAGGATCGATAATCATGACCTCCTGCGTACCAGGCGAGGGAATTAACAGCTCTCCACTACAAGCACGAATAGGGCTTCACCTGGCGTTCATCACGCTGGTCAGTGCAGGTTGGTGAAGGTGGGCAGCAGAGACGTGGGAGCATAGAAGTACGGTTCAACAATAGGTTCAGCTGCACTGCCCTCTGCTGTAACATCACGCAGCCCCGCATTCTCTAGCAAACCTGTTGAGCGTGGTGGGGCGCCCATCCAGAATCAGAATCTGTGTTTAGATTGGAGGAATGCGAAGACCTGCCGATTTGTCAACACAAAATGCAAGCTTGGGCAAGGCAGCAAAACACCAACAAAAACCAATTTAGATTTAAAGCTTTCGTGACTGCAGTAATTCATATTCTTAGTTCTTTCGGTAAAGTCACGTTGAAGGGAAACAATAAAATAATAAAATATATATAAAACAATAAAACATTTCTCACGACGTTTCGACCATGACACAAACACACCTGATGACGACCGTTTGTGTTATGGTCGAAACGTCGTGAGAAATTTTTTATTGTTTTATATATATATTATTATTTTATTGTTTCCCTTCAACGTGACTTTACCGAAAGAACTAAGAATAATAATAACAACATAAACAGTTTCAGACCACACCAAGTCAACACAGTTCCTTGATAGCAATGCACATTAAATGTAACTATATATATACATGGGCACGGTTCAGAGATACAAACCATATTTATAAATGCGGCTGTATCTTGCACTAATCTTCTACTTAAGGGTATTTTTTCAGGAAGATTTACGACGTTAAGGGAGAAAATAAAGTTGTTCCTAAACGTTGGTGCTGCAACTGCAAAATCTTTCTCATCTATTCCAATTCCTGTTGTAGGGATAGTTATACAAGGCAATTAGATGGACGTCTTAGGTTTCTTGGATTTGACAATGGCGTTAATGAATTAGCTAAATATAGCGCGGATTTGTCAATAAGCATTGTATGGATGAACGGGACCCAATGTAGAATTATTATTATTTTAAATAGAGGTCACAATCGTGGGTTACGTCCAGTGCAAATTAAAGAGCAGAGTGATAATGCGGGTTTAGTCTGGTTAGCGTTTCATTAGTAGTTGGTTTGTAAGCAGCATCAGAATCGTCACAATAGTCGAATTAGAAAACAGTGTTTCTAAATAAAAACCCTATATTTAGATGAGTTTCTTTCAGATGTGATCAATATGAAGTTGGAATGTAAGTTTTTAGTCAATCAGTAAACCCAATAATGTTAAGCACGCCGTTTGTTCATAGATGTTTCTGATATCCATAATAGGTGAAGGGAATGAAACTATAGTTTTTTCGGACGTTCAGCTGGCATTGCTACACTACTCTGATGAGCACGAACAAATCTTGACTTAAAGCTTTCGTGACTGCAGGAATTCATATTCTTTGGGTCTTTCGAAAAATATTTTCTTTGAACCTATCTACGTGACTTTACCGAAAGACCCAAAGAATATGAGCACGAACAATTATATATATAAAAAAGCCCCATACAGAATTGGCGTGTCGGGTAAACACAGGCACTGATAAGCGCTCATCAGACTGTCAATGAAACATGTATGCATTAGCCATTACACATTATATATATGCACGAGCTTTACTACCCGGCTTCGCCAGAGACTTGGATTCTTGTCTTGGATTAATACACGGCCCACGTGGAGGGTGAGGGGGGGGATGCGTGACGTTAGCAGGCACACTTCGTGACGCTGCCGCATGCGGGTAACATCACCGCTCAATTGCCGTGCAAAATATATAGATTATTGCGCACCCAAAATACAAAAGTCTATTTTTATACTTTTTGCATTGTGTACAGTCTGGAAGCTACAAACATGCCAAATTTCAAGTTTGTTGCATGTCGGGAAGTATGCTAAACATTTCGAACAGACACACATATTCACAAATTTCCCTTTGATATATAGATGAATTGCTCGGACAGGGATTTTGGTCGTTCTGAAGCCCCTCCTGTCCCAGCCCACCGCGATTGCTGCACCTCCCTCCCCTGCACCAGCCCCCACGACGACCAAACAAGGGGCGGGGCTGAAGAGGAATGGGCGGAGCATAAAGATGAAGGGGGCGGGGCATAAAAAAAGAAATGTGCAGAGGGCCTGATTCGGATTGAGTGGCTTCCAGGGGGTCTCAACTTCCCTGGTGATTTAAAATAATGAGAGCATAGAATCAAATCCTGTACATATAGTAGGTAGCATCGCTTCAGTGCTGCAGATGCAGCCACAGGCCAACTAGTTTAGTGTATTTCAGCGAAACTGAAGCCCTTTTTTGCGTCTGCTGTGCCTTACAAAACGTAAAATAAAAATTAAGATTTCATAGTCTACACCATGGGTGTCCAAACTACGGCCCGCGGGCCAACTGCGGCCCGCCATCCATTTTTAATTGGCCCGTATCAAAGTCTAAAAATATAATGGACTATGGCCCACTGTATTGCACTTCTTAGTTTAAAAACTAGGTGGCGCTATTGTCTTGAACAAGGCAGCGTCTCCACAAAGCAAGCAATCGAAGAAAAAAATTGCTCAGGGTCACCAGAAATGCTGGAACCGAAGAGACGCAAGATTGCAAGCGAGTACAGAAAATTTCAGACTCGGTGGAAAAATGAATATTTTTTCATAGAAACCAAGGGGAAGTGTTTTTGTTTGAGTCTAAAGGTGACAACAACATGTTTGAAGCTGTGTCAGATGCAATTGACCAGGCTGGACTTAAATGGGACAAGCTGTGTGGAATTACAACGGATGGGGCTCCAGCAATGACAGGCGAGCGCAAAGGCATGGCCTCGATGGTGAGTGCCAAGGTGCGGGAGAGCGGAGGTGAGGCTGTCAAAATGCACTGTATCATCCACCAAGAAGCCCTCTGTGCCAAGATAATCCAGCTTGGCGATGTGATGAACACAGTTGTGAAAACTGTCAACAGAATTCGGGCACGAGGGCTTTACCACAGAGAATTTCAAGCGCTCCTCTCTGACGTCGATGCTGAATACGGGGACCTACTCTACCATTCTGAAGTGCGCTGGCTCAGTCGCGGCTCCGTGCTGCAGCGGTTTTATTTCCTGAGATCAAATATCGACAAGTTTTTGAAAGGAAAGGGCAGACCTCTCCATGAGATGAGTAACCCTTTATGGTTGGCAGAAACTGGCTTTTTTAGTTGGTCTCACTGATCATCTCAACACCCTGAACAAGAGACTACAAGGCAAAGAGCAGCTGGTACCACAGCTGTATGCGCACATGAAAGCATTCCGTGCGAAGCTCCGTCTCTTCGAGTCACAACTGTGCAACTTCAATGTAGAGCACTTCCCCACGCAGACCGAAATCAAATGCGCATTTCCAAATGCCAAGCTCTCTGCAAAAATGGGAGAATATGTGTCTGTGATCACATCTCTCATGACAGAATTCAGTCAGCGCTTCCAAGATTTTTCTGTCATTGAGAAGGAAATCACACTGTTTGCGGCTCCGTTTTCAATGGATGCAGAAGAAGTGGAGGAGAGTCTGCAATTAGAACTGATCGAAATTCAGTGTGATGATTCTCTGAAGAATCAGCATTAGCTTCTCTCCCTACCTGACTTCTACCGGAGCTTGGAAAAGGCCAAGTTTCCTTTGATGAGACACCACGCAAAACGAATGATGAGTCTCTTCGGCTCAACATACGTCTGTGAGCAGACATTATCTCTGTTAACGCTGAACAAAAGCAGACTGAGAACCAGAACGACCGACAGCCATCTCCGTGACGTCCTTGGCATCTCAACCACCAAACTTACTCCTGACCTGCCAGCTATCCTTCAGACCAAAGCGCAGCATCACTGCTCCCACTGAGCACAACATTCTTCCCATTACAGGTCAGTTAAAAGTATACGCAGTTTTAATTTGTTAATAAGCCCAATTACTTAATAAATTCAGTCAATTAAAGTTGATGACAATTATTTAACAAACGTTAGTTGATGTGTTAACAAGCTCAATAATGTATTTGTGTAATTAGCTTGAAATATCCACATCCCCTATTTCTCTTCTTTTCTCTCCCTTCATACAGGACAATGAAGGGGGATCAGCACCCTAAGAACCAATCTGAGGCTGTCACTGAGAGAATGACCTGCCAACCTTTTTGTAAAAAATAAAATGAAAATCTACTAATGGAGAGCTATGATGGAGGCTTTTTTTCTTCAAACATGTTCAATTATCAAAAGTAATTTACCTGTATTTGATTGATTTTGCCAATATTAGTGCATGAGAAGTGAGGCAGTATACCTCACGTCTAGTGAGTGGCCCAGTCCTTCGTATATTTTTCTGTATGTGGCCCTCGGGAAAAAAAGTTTGGACACCCCTGGTCTACACTTTAATAAAAACGTGTGTCTATGTTCAAGGTTTCAACTGTTGTCTCCTACACCGCTCTGTATTTAAACATGGAATGGGATGATGTGGAAATAAAACACGGTTAGTGCCTTCCTTCTACAGTATTCAGTTAGTGCGTTCATTCTTTTCGCTTATGTACGTTACTAATAAGTGCCTATATTGGACCTTGTGCTCTTTACTGTTCTGCACAATCATTGCATCTTCACTGTGCAATTAAGATCTGTGCACCCGTTTTGTTCACAATTTATGTATCCTACTCCACCTTCATCTGTGTACGTATGTTGAACTTCTTTCGCACTGTACGTAGCCAACCGTGTTACTGTCCTCGGTATATCTACTCAAATGTTATCACATTGTCCCTAAAACTTAACTTCGCGAACTTGGACTTTGTGACTTGCTTCTATCATGCTATAATGATTGTGATCCCGCCTGTACAGCCGCCTTTATTATAGTCTTGCAAGACCGAATGATGGCTAGCGACAGCCAAAGGAAGGAAACATTCCTAAAATGATACCCACAGTGGAGATGGAGAAATGGATTAACGCATGGACAGGGGGTTAGATCAGGGAGGGGGTCGGCAGCCTCCGGCTCTTTCAGGACTGCAGTGCGGCTCTGGAAATTCTAAAAAATATATATCTCTTCTTGTTATTTTGGCTGCCGTCCCCTGACCATGGAAGTCCATCTTCTTGGTTCTTTCGGTAAGGTCCACGTAGAATGGAAATAAAATAATAAAACATAATCCAACACATTAACACAGCTACTTCAATGCTAAATTCTCCTGTTGATATGTAAACTCCTTCGTCAAGGCGCTCTGCTCCTCCCACCCAGCTTAAAAGATGCTGCCAAGCTTGGCAGTGTTCACTGAAGCGCTGTTGTCCCGACAGTTCTGTTCCTTCACCTGAAGAAGGCTGCTTGTGTTGTGGCCGAAACGTCGTGAGAATTTTATTTCATTGTGTTTTATTATTTATTATTTCATTTCCATTCTACGTGACTTTACCGAAAGAACCAAGAAGATGAATCCCTGCAGTCACGAAAGCTTTAAATCGAAACATGGAAGTCCAGTTCACTGTGGAAGTGCAGTTTATGATGGGCAGGGGTCGGCAGGCAGCATGCGGCTCTGGAGCCGCATGCGACTCTTTAACGACTGTTCCGTGACTTTTTTATATTAAGGACCATCTCATATTCACATGCATTGCCGCTCTCGAAATTTGTTGTTTTTTTATTACCTAGTTCGAAAAAAATGGCACTTGTTTTAGTTGCCGACCACTTGGGCAAGATGGATTGTTGCGTCGTGTGAACTTGAGGGATGGCAATAGCACGTGAAGTCTTTCATCAAGCAGTGCATAGGCCATAGCTGATGATTGTTGTGATGACCAGCATCAAGAAAGGCCGTTTCGGTTAAAAGTAAGCAATCAGTGATTTTGTATCATTTTGATCGAGGGTTTACATTTCACGTCAGATAAACTATTCCACGCCTAGAGCTGTAAGTCGGAGCATGCAATGAAACTGCTTTATGGCTGTCCTTGTCCCATGCCAAATGAGATCTGTATGGTTATAATGGAACGTATGTTGCAAAGAGACGCTGTCTGAAAAAATATAAAGGGATACATTAATGTGTACTGAAATTGTGAAAAAATTCCAGTTTTTTTGTGTACCGTGCAAATCTACCTATGTCCAGCAGATGGCACATTCATCACTTGCCTTCACCAGTTCATGGTATCCAATAGTCCCTTAAAGTTACAAACCACGAGTCAGTTTTTGGGTAAACAAAACAACGTAACGCCCAAATACAGATTCACGGAATATGGAAGAGAGTTGAATTGCTGGTGTTGCGATCGAAACGTGGTGATATTTTATTATTTATTTATATGATTATTTTCTCTATCTACGTGGCTTTACCGAAATACCCAAAGAATAGAGTTGAATTAATTTAACAGTGACTACATTTGATATATATACACACGCAGTTGTACATAACCTCTTTTTAATACGTTTGGCGAGCATGGGAGAGGATAAAATATAATACACCCAAGAGAATGTAAAATACTACACACCCGATAGCGTTGTTAATGACTGCAATTTTAGTTGTATGTTTTGCTTCTGCACCACTGCCAACACATTCTCACCAAATAATTCGTTTAAACACTGACATAGTGGTACAATACAAATAATGTGGCACAATATTGATTTACTGTGCACAGAGTACGTTGTACACACATTTACATGATTACTTATGCAGTATTGAAGCTGGTTTTGTTATTACAGAATGCATGTGAATGCAAGTGTTTATAATAGAACTGAAAAACAATTTACTACAAATGTACCCATACCAGTAGTGGACAGACATTATTCTCTGTGTTGTATATACAGTTTCTATTTTTGTAAAATATGTTATTTCAGTATTTACATGAGTTGAAATGTCACATTCCTCACAAGTCAAAATAAGAGTTTTGAACATGCTCTGCATAGTAGCGCAATGAGATTCAACACTGTATTAAGTCAAACCAGATTTACAGATTTACAAATAAAGTACTCTATTGTTTCACATACCATTTAAACAAATTTCAGCTCTTTGCCAATCACTGTTGGATTAAGGCCTTCCCATGACATACTTGGTCATGGAGGTTGTTGGAATATATTTCACCAAACTGGTCAGTGTGAGTTGGTGATGTTAATGTCCAGGAACAGATTGGACATCTCTTGCCATTGATTTTGGCCACGGCAAAGAATCCAACACAGGTTGGTTAATAGCACAGTGCGATAAACCACTGGTCCATCTTCATACATAACATACTTTCCTGCACTTAAATCATTGATCATCATTCTTTTATTTCCACAAGTCCAGATATTTTTTCCTAAACGAATTAAAAAGCATTATAACATCTGACTGATACATGTATAGAATAGAGAGAGAGGGGCTGGAAGCGTTTTCTATATAGCGAAGTAATGGCGTTTCCAGTCCACTGACTTTAATAGTACAAACTGCACTAGCGGCACTTAACGTCACTGAATCCGACCTTTGATTCCAACTGTTGTGTGATATGCTACCAGCGCTGCACACATGATGAATGGGGGGACATTGTCATAAATCTGACCTTGCTTACTGGATGTCAAATGTTGAAAAATAATATAAAAGGCACAAAATATGGCATGGTTAGTCATCATAAGCAGGCTTCTTTCAGCAGAAGATGGTGTACTCGAGTTGAGCTGGGTTTAAGCAGCCCTTATATTATCCATGTTTTAATATTACCAAGACTGCAAATACCAACGCAGAACTGTAAAAGGAAAATATGTAGCCCCATCTTGCCACTAGTGGAGGCCCCATATTGCCACTTCTGGCAAGATGGGGCCTCCACTAGGGAGAGCTTTAAAGAGCCTCTGTAGTAGAGGGCAGTTGGCCTACTCTTCCACGCTGGACATACGTCTTGGAATAAGTGTTGGGTGTACCCACACTTTACCCTACCACATGTGACCTGCCACTTGACTGTGCTTTACCCATTTATACTGCTGGGACAAAAAGAGCAGGCTTGGGGGCATTTAAGAAACATGGCCATATTTTCAAATGCCTTGCTAGGAGATTGAACTTGCGACCTCTGTATTGCAAGTCCAGTCTCATAACCTTTACATCATGACAGCACCCTGGACTGTACCATAGGACTGTACCAATCATTAATTTCATTTTTTTCTCAAATATAAAAAAACCCTATAGAAACGGGTTATGTGGTTATATAGGTCGTAGATAAACTGATCTTGTAAAAAAAAAAACTGTTCATCTGTAAACGTGAAACTAAATTCAATTATGGTAACATCACAAAGAAAATATGTAAATCGTTTTCCTCAAACGATAATAAGGTCACATGCATGCAATATTTTAAAGCCTAATTGGTTATATTGCGCTGGGTTTCATCAGCCATGTGTTGTACTTCAGGCCACAAACTTAGTTATCGCTGTGAACCCGAGGCAATTTTAACAGGTATGTTTTTGTGGAGGGTGATCATATATTTTCATGAGTATTCATTCCTTTTCATAAAAGGGAGGGAAACACAACGTAGCTGGGAGCATGATCTTATATAAATAACGTAGTGAGGAATTGCCTAATGATACGAGAGGAACCAAGCTGTTAAACAGGGAAATGTACGAGACCTGGGGTGAGGAGATAACGGGCTTAAGAGTGAAAGCCCCCACTGATCAATTACTTTATTCTCTGCAAAGAGCAACAACATTAGATTTCACAAGTTGTATTCACTGTGCACGATTACAAGACTTACAGTGTCGTATTAAGTGAACATATTATTCGTACATCCGATTAGCACGGTTGGTTGCATACGGTGCAAAAGTAGTTCAAGATTCAGTACATACACATTTTTAGTGATGCAGTGGTAACAGCACACTGCACTATTAACCCAGAAACCTGAATTCGATTCCGGGTAAAGGCTAAGATCATTGGCGAGTGATTCCTGAACCGGTCCTTGTTCCCTCCCCAAGCTCTTTCACCAATCTACTGACATGGTGTTAGGAGGCCTTCATCTAGAAATTGGTTGACAGAGGCTGCACAATTGGCTTTTACATCTATATAAGCATTGCACATAACAATGGATAAATCATATTTAAGCCCAATTTGTTATTCTAGGCTGTTCGTCAGCATTTTTACAGGCAAGGTGAGAATAAAGATTCTCCATGAATAACCACAAAAAACAGTCGTTGGCAGAGTAGAGGAAGGTCTTAATATTGAACTAGACAGGAGTCAAAACCAGTCAACAAA